TTCGATCATAGGATAGTATTTTGCAGAATTTATCATCTCTTTTCTTTATAAAACACTGAGTTGACAGTCTCTGACTTGAATATGCATCATACTCTTCCCCTTAAAAATGTGCTTACCTACTTGCCTCCACCCTTCAGCTTACTTGAACAGCACATGAGGGTTCTGGACCATCTGTGCATTAAGAAAAACCCTTGCCTAAGTCCCAGGGCAACTCAAGCACTCAACTAACCTGTGTGCTCTGGGGAAGTATTTCCATCAGCTCTTTTCCTAGCAATTAATCGAAATTATCTTAGTTCTTGCTCTCTTGGTTTTAAGTTCCAGAGATAATAGCTTGCACTGTGAGATCTAAGGATACACCATATTGATTGATATTTTGGTATCTGATAGTAACATTACTCTGGCTCTTTGCTTTTATCCGCTGCAGCTTTATTATTCTTTGCATTGAACTCAATTCAGCATTGTCAGCTGACAAGCAATGCATGATGAGTCTTCATGGACCAAAAGAACCAAGTGTGATTTCAGCTGAGATACACTTTAAAGACACCTGTTCCTAAAAACAGCAGTTAACAGCGATCCCACATTTCAGGACCCGACTGCAAGTATTTCATATAATTTCCCAAATATGACCTTCTGAGAAACGCTTCCTCTTTATTCTAAATAGAAAGTACAACATACACTCCCCAAGACAGAAGCCAGCCGGGAGGTGGGCCTCGGGGACTCGGCACCGGTTCTGGGTCAAGAATGAAGCCGCCTTCCCAAAGGCGGACGCGACCCCAGGCTCCCGGGGCACGCCTCCCCCGGCCTCTACTCCGGGCACCGACCCACCGCGCCCGCACGCTCTCCCCGCTCGCCGCGACACTGCGGGGTCGCCGGGCGCTCTCGCTCCTGACCCCGCACCTTCCACGCCTCCCCTCGAGGACCGTCTTAGGCGGCTTCCTCGAAGAGTTCCGGCCGCCGGCGCCTCAACGTGCGGGGGTGGCCGCCACAGCCAGATTAGAAGGGCGTCCCACTGCAAGCAGGAGAGGCTGGCTGCTCGGCAGCGGAGAGGACAACCCAAACGGCAGCCCGTGCCGCGCCGCGCCGCGCCGCGCTCGCTTCCGCGCGGGCCCGAGGACTCAGACCCCGCGAGCGCGGCGCGCGCACTCCCCGCGTCCCCTCCCGGCCCCGGGCCCCTCCCCCACGGCCCGGTCCCGCAGGGCGGTGGACCCAACGCGGGCGCCCTGTTACCTGTGGGAGGGCGGCGGGAGAGGAGACTGGGGGTTTGGCTCCGGTCCACTTTTGATACCAACCACCCTCACCTGCCGCTTGAGGCAACTACACCCACAATCTTTTGGGAACCAGGTCCCGCCCACACCATAGAGATGGTCCGGAAATAGGACAGAAGGCCAGCCTTCTCTCTTCCGACGCCACCACGGAGGCGAAAGACCCTGGAACGGCGATAGAGCGGCCTCCCAGGGACTCTCAGGCAGGCGCCATCTTGAGTGCGGGCGCCGGTGACGCGCCGAGTTTCAGTCACTGTCCCCCGCAGTCTGGTTGGCATGGGAAGATGGCTCCTCTCTTGGGGTTCCGGTTGAGCGCGCGTTTGTCTTGACTATAATTTTTAGACTTTTTACCACGCAGTTTTAATTTCATTTCCGCCCGCATCCAAAATGGTCACCGGACGCTTCTTACAAACAGTGAAGGGGCAGGGCTAAGAAACGGATACGTGACGCCACTCGTGGCTGAAGCCCTGGTTGGCTGTGCTGCGTGGGCCGGAGTCGTGCGGACCCACTGGTGACGCCGGCGGAGGTGGGTATCGGTGATTCCCAGGCTCAAACCGAAGACGGTCCGAACTCACGCTTAATTCAGCAAGAAGTAACATTGGGCATATTAATACAATGGTTTCCCCTCATCTACGGTTTAATTTTCTGCCCCTTTAGTTACCCCGGGTCAACCTCGGTCTAAAACCATTAAGTGTAAAATTACGAAAACAGACAATTCATAAATTTTAAATTGTGCGCTGCTCCAAAGAGTGTCTCTTGCCGGCTCATTCTTTCCCCGGGCGGATGTGAGTCATCCTTTTGTCCAGCGTACACGCGCTACGCTCCCTGCTCCTTAGTCGCCAAGTAGCATTCCTTTTCACATTGCCTGGCGATATTGAAATGCGTGTGTTCAATCCGGCCTTAGTTTACTTAATAATGGCCCCAAAGCGCAGTGGTAAAGATACTAGCAATTTGCATATGTTAAAAAGGAGCCATAAAGTGCTTCTTTTAAGTAAAAAGGTGAAGATTTGGGACTTCATAAAGAAAGAAAAAAAAAAGTCATACACTAAAGTTGCTAAGATCTGGTTAAGAATGAACCGTCTATCCGTGAAATTGTGAAGAAGGAAAAGAAATTCCTGCTAGCTTTGCTGCTGCACCTCAGACTGCAAAAGTTACAGTCACAGTGATAAATGCCTAGTTAAGAAGGAAAAGGCCTTAAATTTGTGGGCGGAAGACGTATACAAAACCTATTTCCGTGGCTGGCAACTTACTGCATCAGAAAGCTTTGAGCCTGTACAGCAAAGCACCCCCTGAAATGAGTCACACTACTGCATCTAAGGGATGGTTGCATAGATTGGGACTGAAAAACATAAAAACTACTGGAGAGGCCGCCTATCTGCTGATGAAGAAGCTGCTGGTACCTGACTGGCAGAGTTAAAGTTGATTAAAGAGAAAGTCCCAGGGATTGATGGGAAAGTTGGTAGAGAAGATTTGACTATATGCCTGATGGGAAGAACATATGGAAGGCTCATGAGAAGTGCTAATAAATGAGGAATTGGAAGAACTTGTGGAGTCATCTATAAAGGAAAAGAGGTCGAAGAAAAAACCGAAGCAGATCTAGCAATGTGGACATTACAGAAGTTTGCCATTGTGTTTCAAATTGCACACACATTAAAGGGCAAAATTATGAAATATGAGCCTTGGATGGAACACAACTGTGAAGTTACCTGTATGATCACCAAAGAGTGACAACGCCTGCAGCAACAGTTTGATGAGTTAAAAAGAGAAAACAGTGACAACAGCTGCAGCAACATTTGATGAGTTAAAAAGAAAGAGAAAACGTCCAATTACAAAATTTTTCCAGAAGACTTTGGCAGAAAACTCTTCAACTATCTAGAATCCCCAACCATGGACTCCTCTGCACCTAACATTGCACCATGGATATGGCTCGATGACCCAGGATCACCCCAAATAGATGATCGTCCCTATGATGTATCCTCGGAAGATTATTCTTAGTTTCAGGCATCTACGAGGTTGAGTGTCTTGGATGTTATGCCTTGAGTGTAAGAGAAGACTGTTAACTATTTGTCTTTTTAAAAATGTACTACCTATTTCTATTACTCATGGTACCTAATAGGGTGTTGTGAGAGTAAAGTGAATATACATAATGATCTTCAAACTAAATGGCACAAAGTAAACAGTCTATAGTATTTTTGTAGTTGTCATCCTCATGATTAATAGTAGTAATCACCACTGCTAGTTGATGCTTCTGCAGACTCACATTGGACAGCAAAGTCTACATCGTTTGGTCATGTACAATTCTTAGGTCCTTTGCAGCCTTAACAGTAGCCAAAAAGATGGATAAGGATCATTTCTTCACCATGTTAAATAAAAACAATTATCAGGTCAAATTTTGTGTGATATTCAGAAATGTATTAAGCAGACATTAAGAAACAAGCACAGTTAATTTATTCTATAAACTTTATGAAATCTGAACTCTGTCCTAGATTACTGCTGCCATGTAGAAATAGCATTCAAGCCATGTATGTAATTTCAAATTTCTAGTAGCCATATTAAAAACAGTAAAAAGAAAGACATGTACCTTAGAACCTCTATAGTTGACCATCTCCCTACATTGACCACCTCCTTAAGTTGACCTAATTTTCATAGACTAGATGTGCACCACATGGAAGTATCAATAAAGCAGGCCTAGTTTCTTATGTTGACCACCTTCATGTGTTGACCAGATTGTTAACAGTCCTTCGGGTGGTCAACGTACAGAGGGTTCTGTATAAATGCAGTGTGGCCGTAAAGTAAAGTTTTAAATTTAAAATTGCACATTAACTTCATGGCCCCCTGAATTATGTTTTTGAATATATATGAAATCTGATAACTGAGTGTGTGAATTTGCCACCATGCTCGTACCTTGGCAGCACTGTACAAAGAACTCAATAAGGTTTCATAACCTTTGACAAGTATATCATTGTCTCACAACTGTGTTCATGTCTCCATGTGGCAGTGTCTTGCTGAGTGGCATTCATTGCTGTGTGTTTTTGTGTGCCATCATAAGACTGTCAGAGCTTGAATTAGAGCAACAAACAAACATTAAATTTCTGGCTAAACTTGGCAAGAGTGGAAGTAAAATCAGGGACATGTTAGTCCATGTTTATGGGGAAAATCCCATGAATGCATTTATGTGGCTGCCAGGGGCTGGGGATAGGGAGGAATGGGGAGTGACTGCATAGGGGTAAGGGTTTGTGTGTGTGGTGGGGGAGATATAAGTATTCTGGATTTTAGATAGTGATGATAGTTCTACAATCTTGTGAATATATTAAAAACCACATTTTAAGATGGTTACTTTTATTAACATTTGAATTATTTTTCAATTTAAAAAGGCTATGATATGTGTACAAGTGTGTACACCTGTGCTCATGAAGGATAAATATGACACTCATGAAGTCATTGTGTATCAGTTATAACAAAAGGGAGCTCTAGCAATAGCAGGTGCCTTCTATCATATTTGATGTTGTTAAAAGTCAAGTTTGAGGAAAAAATGAAAATTAACTAGAGATAGTAATACAGACAACTTTAGAAATGTTAAAAATTAAAAAATGTCTAGAGTTACTAATTTCAATTAGAAATGACTAATAAACTGATGTTCCCTTTACCAAGTATTGTAATGCATTTCAGGGAATTTGCAGATACATTGAGCCCCCCAAACTTGTGTGGTTCTCCTTTTCAAAATCACTGAATTAAAATTGATTCCTTCACATGGAGAAGGCAGTTGCCAGAAGCTGGAGGATGGGAGAAAGTGGGAAGATGTTGGTCAAAGGGTATAAACTTTCCGTTAGGAGTAAGTTCTGAAGGTCTAATGTACAACATTGTGATTATACTTAATAATACTGCATTGTACACTTGAAATTTCCAAAGAGTAGATTTTACATGGCCTCAGTCTATCCCCCAACACACACATACACATAAATAGTAACTGTGGTGATGAGTGTGTCAATTTGATTGATTGTGGTAATTATTTCACAATGTATCTGTATATCATGTCATCTTAGCATATACCCTGAGTATGTACAATTTTTATATTTATCCATTACACCTCTGCAAATGTGGGGGAAAAAACCAAAGAGCTGATTTCTTCGAATCAAGACTAGAAATGAAGGAACTCTGAAGTTTAAGCTAACTGATGGCTCAGCGCCAGTAGCTCAAGCGGCTATTGTGCCAGCCACATACACCAGACCTGGCAGGTTCATGCCTGGGCTTGCCAAACAACAATGACAATTCAAATATTCATAAAAGTAACCATCTCAAAATGTGGTTTTTAGTGGTTTTAATATATTCGTGAGATTGTGTAACTAGCAAAATTCCAGAATACTTAAAAAACTAGCCAGGTGTTGTGATGGGCATCTGTAGTCCCAGCTACTTGGGAGGCTGAGGCAAGAGAATCACTTAAGCCCAGGAGTTTGAGGTTGCTGTGAGCTGTGATGCCATAGCACTCTACTGAGGGTGACATAGTGAGACTCTGTCTCAAAAAAAAAAAAAAGGTAACATTTCCTTAACTTGCCTTCCTGGAGTCTAAGCCTTAATAGGCAGCTCTATGTCCCACCTGGTGCAACCTGTAATATTCATAAACTATGACTACACAGTCATGTACAAGTGCAGTGCCGATTACATAGCAGACTTCAAACAGTGGCAAATTATAGGTGAGGAGAAAAAGACCTGAACTTGTAAGAGATATTTATTCTGCTTTCAAGTAGCAGTTACCTACCTTCAGATTCTAGAATCTGCTTACCTCAGTTTCCTAAACTAGTAACCTATCAATATTAGGAGGCTAGGAAGAGGGGTGAGCAATGTATATGCTAAACATCATTTTTCACAAGTTAGTAAACTACAGGGTTTCTATATTGAGTTTTCATAAAAATTGAATGAAAGTATTTTCATTCACACAGGGTGGAGCTGGGCAGAGCAGTGCTCAAGCTGCCATGGGGTGACAAACACTGCCCCCACCAGACCTGCACAGGATGATCACTCATGAGGCAGCACACCACCCGCCCATGCCAACCACAGGGGAATGGTGT